TTTTTATAATTTGTAACTATAATATGAAACTAGTATAAAAATATGTTTATACACTTTTTGTACAACAGGAATATTGCATGAAATTAAAATTAAGGCTACTCAAATTATTTTTTCTTCTTCATTTTTTATAGTTAAATTGAGATTTATTTCTTGCTATAGTTATATCAATTTATCAACAATTAGAAAAAGATAATGGTTTATTTGACGTAAACTTAGTTCACTAGGACCTAGTAATATGTCAAGAATCAACATATTTTTTGTGTTTAAATTGTATTTTGTATGGAAAATTTGCAATAGTCCTATATATAACTTCAGTATTATGCACTTTATTATTGAATAGTTGAAATAAATTGATATTTAACACCAATTCTAAATGTGAATCAGCTGTCTCTTTGCTAAAAAATAATTTTAAGTTTTCATCTTTAAAAGTTTTTCAAATATTACCATCATAAATATTATATAGAAATTCATCAATACTTGATCGATCTATCCAATGCCAAAAATTAGATTTAAAAATTTGGATTTTAATACATTTGTGACAATTGATACCAAATAATAGAATATGGAAAAACTAAATTGGACTGATTAATTACATTTTCATTTAATAACTCTGATTGTATAGATAGTGAAGAATTGCAAGTTTTTCTTCATTTTATTGCCAAATTGGGAAATTCAATATAAATACATTTCATGACTAATAGTTGATTGTTTTTTTGAAAACCAAGAACATCATCCTGTCTGTATAATTTGTGACATATTTGATATGCCACAAAACTATTGAACTGGTTTGATAGTCCAAGTTTATTGTTGACAGTATACAAAGTTCCACAAAAAAGTTCAAATTCTTTGCTACCAATTTTAATTAACATCAATAATTAATGTATTTATAAAGTTTTGTTTATAAGTATTTAAGGACATACAGTATATTTAAAATTGTTATAATTATTTGAATTTTTTTTTATCTAAACTGTATTAATAAACTTCGAAACTTGATTATTTTAACTTGAAACATTTAATTTAATAACTCAATAAATAGAACTTGTCTATAATATTAAAAATAGTGTCAAAAAAGATAAATTGAAATTCTTTTTGAGATTCAAGTGAAAAGTATTAGGATATCCGGATAGTTAATTAACTTTAAGAATTTGAGTTCTAATTGGTACATATAATATAATAGATATGGTTATTATTCCAAATTTGACTGTTATTTGATGCTATTCTGCCATAAAAAATTTGCGCAGTAATAAGATAGATGAGTTTTTTCCCCTTAGTAAATTAATTCTCTTTGAAAGGGTAATCTTATGACTTGGGGTTATCCTCTTCCATTTGATAATGGATATCCCTGTGAAATTTATTGAGCAAATACGAAATTGAAACTTTTGTCTTTTCACGCAACATTTTATAGTGTAATATTCTGGACTGTTCCCATTAGCCCCAACACTATTTGATTATGAACGAAAACATACCGCAAACGGTCATAAAAGTAAGAAGCATCCACGCGATTCTCTCGACGATATCGAAATAATTCTTGCTAAGCGTTTTTTTTTAATTCTCATCAGATATGGTATCCAAAAAATGTTATTATGTGTGACATCATTCCTCTTGCGCTTATCTCCTCGCGTCTCAATTTAACGATAAACATTGTCGGTCGATTATATGTATAAATGGATGTTGCCCCAAACAGATGAACCCGCTAGTTTTCTGTCACACCAGATGGCAAGCAGTGTTTTCACCTCTGACAAAGCTGTCCAGGTCAAGAAACGAAAATGTTATTTAAATTACATAATCCTTTACGTAATATTAATATTAAAATACGGTACTATTAATTGGAACTCCTGGAATGTTTTTGTATTAAATATTTTATTGTTTATTTTAGCTGAAAAATATTCATTAATTCTTGCAGGCAAAATAATCGATGCAATCTTTTTTATTAGGTTCGAGCTTACAACCGATCATATCACGCCAAAGTTTGTTTTTCTAAAGATTTTTATTAAGGTTTATTGACAACATCTTCACCGGAAATTTGAAAATGGCAGATGCAGTATGTTTTGAAGAGTTGTCGTTGGGCTCATAAGATTCGTCTTTTGATCATTCTTCGAATTCTCACTTTATCCCAGATAGTCTCTCATGATAAAGGAAATTCCTTGATTTATCCAACAATTCCAAATTCGTCTTTTTTTTAAAAAAAAAGAAACAAGCACGACAAAGCTCTCTCTAAATAAAGATTCGTTACATAGACTAATACCGATACATATGGGTAATATTTTCGAGAATTTTCGGACCTTATATAACCGTGATCCTAAAGATCCTAATTGGTATTTTGGTCGCCTTCAAGGATAATTGCCCATACACACCATTGATTAGATCCCGATCTAATTTTAAATGCATAAAATTATGTGATTGCGATGCCAATGGTGCGTTCTTTATGAAGGCCTCCGTATACAGGACATACTGTACATACAGTACGTACATAATAAAAAATACGCATAAAAATTTTTTAATTATAAAATGTTATGTAAGGTAGAAATAATATTCTGCGCAATGGTCCCATTCGTGAATTAAACGAAGAAACATAATAATGGCTGGAACTCATAGTGTTAAAAAAATTATACGTTACGATCCATCATATACAGTAATGATTTCAAGAGGTTACGATATCATTGAATATTTTTATTTGGTAATACACCTCATGTTTCACGAGTGTTATTGTCATCGAAGGATACGTAAAATTCATATGGTAACAAAGAATTCTATATTGGTGATACCTCTTGGACAAGAAATTCATAGTTTTCGAAAATCCCCCCCCAAAAAAAAACAATAATAATAAGAGGGATACAGAATAAATGATATATGACAAGCGTACCACGACTCAACCTAATTTTGAGCATGTGTAGTTCGAATCGTTTTTTGGAATTAGGATAGTGTGCAAACTGAATTAGCCGTTGGAAGTCTATGAATTTTAATGCGTAAAATTACGGTTTGTGAACTACATTCAGCTTCAGGGGATATACTGACAATTGACTTTTATAATTGTTAGTTGAGGATAGACCATATATTTAATTCTCATGGTTGTGATTATATCATTATTTTGGCATTTAAAAATCAGTGTTTGGCATCTTTAAATAATATACAGTATGTCTACTCTAGCACTTCAACTTAAATCATACAACACTGTATATTACAATATAGGAATTTTCAGTTTTTCAACTAAACCGCGAGTTACTATAAACATTGCCTTTGATACACGATTATGCAGTACGCGTTACGTACAGTATACAGTAGTTCGTGCGCAATTTTTACATAACACCATATTCATAATACCATATTCTTTATTACGCACATGTACCCACAAAATGAGATATTGCCGTTGGGAAAAATGAGATGTTGCCGTTGGGAATTAAGGATTTCAGAAAATTTATAAATAATAGATTTCACATTCATTCTGTGACATGAAATTCTATTATCAATTCATTTTGCAAATGGCCTATACTAAAAGGTCTAATGCAGCGTGGAATAAGGCATTTTCTCAGTTAGACCGTCACAAATACCCAAGGGTAATTCAACAAGAGAAATATATTCAACAAAAATTTCAAAATAACCGATTACTAACGAAAGCAGAAAAGGATGGATTGCTTGCTCGTCTTCACAAGCATTATGATTTAATTAGAATCGAACGCTCTATCGAAAAAAGATTATGCACCAAGTGCATAGATTTGTGCAGTGCAGCACAATATTGTGAGTTGTGTGTTCGAAAATATTTAGAGAATAATTTTAGAAATTGGTCTTCCGGAAATAGTGTTATCGATAAATTAATTCAGGAATGTCAAAAGGAAGTTGTAATTACTGATAGCATTGTCGAATGGATTGAATACGAACAATTTGAGGACGTTACGTATAAGACAGAAGGCGGATGTTCTAAAATTTATACCGCAATTTGGAGAGATGGTCCTTATCATAAATGGAATGATGACACACAATCTTTACAACGATTTCCTCGCGATAAAGTAGTGCTAAAAAAATTATGTAATTCGGCGAATAGTGATGGGAATTGGTTTCAAGAGGTTAGTTAATATTACTTTTCACCACTACATCTATACGCGTAATGTAATGTTATTTTGATTGTAAAATATTACTGTATTCAGGTTAAATCACAATTCTGCATTGATAACACGGGAAAATACCTCGTCAGATGTTATGGATTGACCAAGGATCCAATTTGTAATGATTATCTGCTTGTTTTAAATCACCTTAATTGCGATTTAAGACAATATTTGGCGGAAAATTATTCGGTGATGACGTGGGATAAAAAATATGACATCATTCGCAAGTTATCACAGAGGCTAAGCAAAATTCATCAAAAAAACTTTGTACATAGAGACTTGCATTCGGGCAATATTTTGTATTCTTCGCGTAACGATGATTTATATATCGGTGACATGGGTTTTTGTGGGCCTATAGATAAACAAATAGATAATGTCTATGGTAACATCCCATACATCGCACCGGAAGTCTTGTGCGGTGAACCGCACACCCAAAAGTCCGATGTATATAGTCTAGGGATTTTAATGTGGCAAATTGCGGTTGGCAGGACTCCGTTTCGCTACATAGAATATAATGATAATTTGGTTTCTTCAATTGTTGGTGGCATACGTCCGGACATTCACGAAAGTATTCCATTCGAATACGTTCTCATAATGAAGCAATGCTGGGACGCCGATCCTAAAAATAGGCCGGATGCATGTGAAATAAGCAATAGGCTTAATCAGATGCTCAACGAATTACGTGTTAAAGAAACCAAACAAAGGTCGCCTCAATATGCTTCTTTGAATTATTTAAACTACTTCATCAACAAAACGGCAAAGAAAAATAAGAACTATTTTATCTTAACTCCTAACTCTGAGACATTTACCGATGAGCATAGTAAATTATTTATAGCTTCTAACATGTCTGGGCCAAAAAATGCAACTATAGGTAAGCATCAAGGATCCTTGCCTTTAGAATTTATTTTATTTCCATTATAATGATACAGCGTTTTTTTGCAGAAGAACAATTGGGTATGATTTTCTATAAGATTAACTTTCTCATGGGCCAGCGTTTATAACCTCAAACAACTACTTAAATTTTAGAGTTTGATTCCCAGTACAAATTAACCATTTCTCACGGTAATCAATCTATTACATCGAGTTTTTCATTAAACAAATACCGATGATTTTAATTACGCACGCATTTATTATCGTAGCACTTGAAAATCTCTTTCCGAGTGACGGCGTATCGGAAAAACCTGAACATTGCACCGTGAGCAACATCCATATTGAAGGTAACGTACCGGATTCAACCTACTTACTTTTAATCCTCCAATTCTATATTAACTGCGATTTTCTTGAATAAGGATCCTCGCAATTGACGATTAAATTGATAATTTGATTACTTTAAACTTATCCCAGTCGTATGCATTTCTAAATTAGTGTCCATTATATTATAGTATTTATATATATTTGTTTATCACAAGGCCTATCTAATATTAATCATTCGTCTTTTTTTTATTTTTATTTTTTCATATTAATTGACTCATGATTTCGCGTCTAAAATGAAAAACGAATCGTTTAGAATCGCGCCTATTTTGATACAGTATGTAAAATAATTATCACATTCATATTACATGCATAATGCAAAAATATGCTATCTTATGCAATTATTTTATCGGTATTTAATATATCTATTTAATTCATTCGGTCATTATTTGAATTATTATACGCAAAACATTGATTCTTATATTGCATTTGTAGAATAAACAGTTGATTTTTCAAATAAAAAAAGTTAATAAATAAATAATTGTATAAAAGTTTGCTGAAAAAGAAAAAAAAAAATTTTTTTTTTTGAAAATAAATAATAAACAATCTCTATGATAACTTAATTTTCTTTTCAAACCCTTCATTATATCAGTTATATAGTTTCATTGAACATTTGTAAACAGTGTATAAATTTATGTATCACTAAGGTTATTTTTCTAACTAATTCATTTATCTTGATTTAAAAAACTTTAAATACAAGAAAGCTCTTGCCCTCATTAATTCCAAAAGATATATGAAATGCATGAAAAAGATTGAATTGATTTCAAATATTATTCAATCTATTTCAATTATACAGTATTTCAAATCTATCATTTTTGAATTTATTTTATATATTTATCTTAAAACTATCTTATTTTAGTTTCAATTCTTTATAAAAACTCTAATATTTACATTAATAAATAATTTATTTCAGATATATATTGTAAAAATCTCTTTTAAATCAAGTATTTATTATTATATTATTGAATTTTTCTTTTTTTAATTTGTTTAATTGAACAATCTATTATTATATTATTAAAACTATTTATATTGCATAATTTTAACTTTCTTAAATTCTAGAATAAGATCTTTTCTTGATATTAAAATTTAAATTCTTATTTATAATAATTCATTGTTAATATTAATCTACTTTTTAAAGATATAAAAGATTGAATTTTAGATTTTAATCATTATTTTATAATTTATATACATATATAGTTATTAATATTTTTAATAATATAATATAAGGTGATCTATAAATCAATAGTGCATTAGTTAACATTCCATAGGTCTGATTATAAGATACAGGTTCAAATCCTCTAAATAATAATGTCTGAAGTTGATAAAATCTGTACCTGTTAACCTAATTATATCTAACTAACATTTTTGAATATAGCTACTTGTCATAAGGTATTCTGAAAAAAAAATATTTATTAATAAATAGTACAGTCTATATAAGAATTATGATCAACTGTGATATTCAAAATTGACTATAATTATTCTGATATCACCCAGTTACACAAGATTGAACAGAAAGTAACAAATACAAAAGCAGATCCCTAAATCAGTAAGATGCCGTTGATGATCAAGTATTGAGTTTTGTGCCACTCGCTGACTTAATTATTGAAAAGCTCTAATAGGAGGAGAAATCTGCGTATTACTTTGAAAGATCAAAATACTAAATTCAGGATACTATATTTGACAACCTGATAATTTATCTACTCTAGTATACAATAAAAATGTGTAGGGAATAATTAAGATAGAATCATGTAATTTTTTATTAAAATAGTATATAATATAATCAATATAGTTAGCTATATATATAATAATTTACTATAATAATTGACATATATAGTGTTTATTTAAGAATATATACAATAGACACATTACCACTTTCTTTCTTTCCTTCTTTATCTATATAAATACATACAATAATGATTCTTATCTGCTAAATAACTCAAATAAAAACTGTAGAGCTTAGTATAATATATAGTAATAACAACCTGTTGGCAATGATATAATAAATTAGGAGAACCTTTATCCAAAGATATTGCAGAACAAAATATTGTCCCCAAGGTTGAACTTAGAGACTTTTATGGTTATAATAAATTAGTTAGATAGAATAAAATAGTTTAACTGTGATATTTATCATGTTGCTTAAATAAAAATGAACATATGTTTTCAATTGATTAATAAACTTACAATCTAGCTTGACTATAGATATTCAAAAAAAATAAAAATAATAATATAATATAAAGTATAATTAAAATAATCAAGATTTAATAAAAAATAAAAAAAACTCTTTCTACAAATCCCTCAGATCCTTAGAAATTTCTTTTTTAGACCATTCACTCAAGAAAAGAAAAATATCTATAATTCAAGACATACAATATATTCTTGTAATACCAGTATACAATAGTTATCTTAGCACAAAACAATACTTCATGTATAGTCTTAAATCAATAAATTGCTAGAAAACATATACATAATAACAACTTAAACTTTTTTTTTTTTTTTAAGAAGAAGGAAAGAGATCAACATAAACTGATTCACAGTCAAAAAAAGAGTGTCAATATAAATTTCACAGTGCTTGTAGCCAGACTAGTACAGGTTGATACCTTCTTTAATATTACAAATAATCATAAAGAAAATAGATTTGTTTGATAAATCAAGTAAATCTCAAATCCCTCAAGATCCAGAAGAACATCAAAGCTCCTGAGATCTAAATAGCATACATATCCCATCCTATAAATATCAAAACATCTAGCCAAAGTAATATTAATATATACAGATATATAGACCTGTTGTCAAAAACAAGTTTGACAAAAATCCATCACAACAATACAACAAGAGTGAATAAATTTGACAATATTTTTGATTACAATATCATCATTAGATGTGATTGACATAAACAAAACAGCAAGAATCCATAATGCAATATTAAACACTGGTGTAAACAAGTAAACAACACTAGATAAAAAAGAGATAAACAATACATGTCTGATCAAAATAGAATTAAAACACAAACCAAAATAGAAAATTACTAAAATAAGAAGCAAACCATATAAAATTTTTTTTTGCTTTATGTGACTTTAGTAATACTAAGTGATTTATCCCCTATTAATTATCCTTCATATATACAATAAATAAGACAGAAAAGATTCTACATATAATAGATAAAAGAAAAAAGAATATCATTAATATTTTGATTTGACTTGCAAGAAAGTATGAAGAACATAATGAGCTATGAGTTATACAATAAATAGCCAGACAGGAGCCAGCCACTATTTAAATAGAAGAAGAAGTGCCAGTTCCAAAAACTTGTATAATATTTGATAGTATTATTGCAAGTATTTTAGAAGTAAACAAGATAATATTTTATAAAGAACAAATTTTAATACAATATATAACTTATCTCTGGTAAGTTGAAAAAGGAAAAAAAATAAATCTGCTTCAGCTGTATATTAAAAATGAACTTGTTAAAATAATTAAAAAAGAAAAATATGTATCAAAAGATATGAAAATCCTTTTTATAGAGATCATCACCTAAATAGAAGAAGATTTAACAGTAGATAATGAGATCACAATGTCTAATGTTTAAGAACAAGAAGAGATAGAAGAGAAAATAGAATTTGAAATGCTGTGAGAAAAGATCAAAAGTCAAAATATAAGTGAATTTAGTTTATACAGTACAAGAAATAAAGCCGAAAACCCATATCAAATCCATATTAAATAAGTAAAAAAGGTGCATATTGATTAGAAACCATAATCACAAATATTTCAGAAAGCTCAAAAAAAGATATTAGAGTCTATCTGTGCAATGTCTTAAAACTATCTCAGGACAAATGAAATCTTCTTTATAAAAGTTTTATTAATAACAACAAATAGCTGATTATTCACTTTAAAGAAGAAGAAGATATCCTTAAATATTTAAAATAAGTAAACAGAAAAAAGAAAGCCTTCAGTTTTCAATGATTAGAACTAGGAAAGAAAAATATATGGATCAATCAGCTATAGATAAGATAAAGAAAAAGATATTTTGAATCTATAATCCAGAAGAAAGCAAAGACATATGGTATATTGATATAGTGGATATGGATTATAAACTTTCTAAAAGTTATATAAAAGAACACCTAAAAAGATATGAAAATATTAAAAATATTGATATCTATAAGGTAAAAACAAAGATCTAAGTAAGGACCTATCTCAAGTAGTATAAACACTTCAAAACCAATCCTGAAAAAATATAGATGATATTACTTAAAATAGAAATAATAAGAACAATCTTTATTAAAAAAAAACCAACTAATAAAGAAATAAATGAAAATTTGATTGAACAAAACAAACACTCAGCCAGGTTCTTAGGCTCAAATAGAATACTCTTAAGTTTGATAACCAGGACACTTAATGATATAGAAGCTAAGACCTGTTATATACCAAAAAACTCTTATACATTGAAAAAACAAAACTTTACAGTAGTATGCTTTGTAACAAAAGAAACATTGACAAGAACTTGCAAGCAGTATATTTTTTTGCAGGGACTAAAACTATCCTGAAGTGCAAAAGCCACAATAAGAGAAACTATAAAGGGTCCTAAACCTAAAGTTAAAAGATTAAGAGGAAGGCTGGAATATAGAATAGTAGAAATAGATAGCAAATCCATATCATATTCACCATTAGATAGTAAATCAATAAGCTCTATTATAACTATTGAATATAAGTAATCTACTAATCAAAGAAAAGGTATTAAGGTTAGAATAATAATACTTAG